GATTATCTTGTACACTTTTTTAGGTAGGATAAAGTTTGTTAGTTACCCACGAAAGGCTAACCATTCTATTAACTCAATGTGGTACGTTAATTCTTAATATGGTAAATACTAAAATTAAACAGAAAATATCATTTTATTTTATCTAAATAAATATATTTACCAGCCCTGTTTTGCCGAGTAGAAATTAAAAACTATGTAATACCTTTGCCTTTTTTTTGAATAAACGGGATTAGTTATACTTATATCTTTAAGAAATAATGAAAACAGTAGAAAATAATACATTTTTTTTTAATAAAAACTAAAAACACAGAAAAGCATTCCAAATTTGTTTGATTTTATAGTATCTCAATAGAAATATTTTATCAAATTTGCCACCTAATTAAGTATTAACCGATCTCATCTCATTCAGAAAAAAAATCCTTAATTTTGATAAAAAAGGTAACAAAAATCTCTTTATGAAAAAAAACAAAATATAGTAAAAATAATGATTACAAATCCGCGTCAAGAGATACATTTTAACAAAACTAATAACGTAAGATAAGATAGATTAAGAGAGACTCACTTTCTTCGAGCGTGTAGAACACGAACACGTCCTTAAACGAAACATGAGTTACACGCGCGTTCATAAGCGCGTGAGTGTAGTGTAAACAAAAGATACGGAGAAGTATGACAATATTTGTACAATAATTTCAGTTTGAGGACAAAACACAAGTTTAGTTTGAGATCTAAGGACTTACACTGTCTCCAAATCTGCAGGAAGGACTTTTTGATTGGATCAATATAAATACCTTCGCCATTCTCTTCTCTCTTCATCAAAATCTACACAATTTCATAACAATTTTCTCGTCTTTTGTGTTTCATCACTTTTTTTTTTGGATAAATTGCGTATCAATCCGAGCAAGATGACTATTCTTGTTGAACATTACGTCTCAGGTAACGTTTCATTGCTTTTATTTTTTTTAAACATGTAGATTAGAGAATGCTAATTTCGATTTGTGATCTCTAAATTCTATGATCAGATTAGTTTTACACAATGATAGTAGGAATTTAGGATCATAAACATATATATACAATATGTTTGTTAACTATCGTTTATGCCAAAATAAAAGTTCTAATATGGTTATCACGTTTTCGATCATGGTTAATATAATCAACAAATTTTGCTGTTTGACATGGATGATGTACGGTGTATTAATATTGCAGATTAGATTGATACTAGTGCATGGGGATATATGATCAATTTCGTTACACAAAATATAAGAAGTGAATTCTTTTCTTAATTAATTTTTGTGGTGACGATTATAGATTCAAGAGTGGAAGAAAAGAAAGAGAAAGAGGAGAGGGATGGTGAATTGGTGTTGGATGGAGGTTTTGTGGTTCCAAAATCTAAAGAATCTGATGGATTTGATGCTCCTGATATGAATTTCCTGGGCCATTCTTTCAGGTTTGTTTTTTTTTTTATTAAAATTAAATAATTATTCGATCTGCATGTAATATTTTTTTTTTGGATGGACATACATGTCTTTTATGAAGAAAAGTACTAATTACAATCTCTTACTTTCTATTTATAGGGACTACGAGAATGGTGAAAGCGAGAGACAACAAGGTGTTGAGGAATTCTACAGAATGCAACACATTCACCAAACTTATGACTATGTAGGCCAAACAAATCTTATTTAAGAGTTTAATAAGGGTAGCGAAATTATAAATTATCTAGTGCTAATGGATGATTATATAAACTTTGAGAAATTTGAATGAAACAGGTCAAACAAATGAGAAAAGAATATGGAAAACTTAACAAAATGGAAATGAGTATATGGGAATGTTGTGAGCTATTGAACAATGTGGTCGATGAAAGTGATCCGGATCTTGATGAACCTCAAATCCAACACCTACTCCAAACCGCTGAAGCTATTCGTAGGGACTATCCTGACGAAGACTGGCTCCATCTCACCGCCCTTATCCATGGTACATCATATCATATTACTTAGATTTTTGGACTAGTTTATATATCGAAGCTACTAAAATTTGACAAGTACTTGTAATTTATTTATTTGTAGTAGTGTTACCACCATATCATAGCCCAATTTTAAATCCGGAAATATGCGTACACGATTGAACAAATGACCAAACTTTTTTATGTTTTGGATAAGATTACATGTACAAGATAATTTGAATTTTCTTTGGTCAATATTGGATGCAAATTAGTAATATAATTTTTGTTTGTTTTGTTCAGATCTTGGAAAAGTTCTGCTTCTGCCAGAGTTCGGTGGTCTTCCCCAGTGGGCTGTTGTTGGTGTGTACATAATATAAATTATCTTCTTATTAACTTTTATTGGCATATTTATATTCTATAGCCTATTGTTTTTCTTTATAATTCTGTAAAATAACAACACAACGGTACACTTAACACCTTCATATATTGCAGGCGACACATTTCCAGTTGGGTGCACCTTTGACTCGGCTAATATTCACCACAAGGTAAACAAACAAAAAAAGACACTATTTAACGTTTCCAAATATGTATTGGTGACATAAAAAATTAAGTCAAAAGTGAAGATGACTAACTAATCTTAACCAATATATTGCAGTATTTCAAAGAAAATCCTGATAAAAACAACCCAAAGTA